TTGCGGTGCCAGGGTCAGTGACCTCATGTAGATGTTTTTTTTTTTATATATCTAATAGACAATATAAATATATAATAAACTAAGATCGTATGCATGTATTAAACATAATATAAAAAACAAGTAACATAATATAACATTATAAAATAAAAGTAGAATATGAAATTATATTTTGTTGTCCTTAAAATATTTTACAAATGTATTTCTTATTTCTAAAACGGTTTGAGATGTTCTATTAGTATATCTGCCACCTTGAATACTATCGAAATAATTTTTACTTAATATCCCATTTTCATTTTCTATATTTTTTATGTCTGATTGATTTTTTTCAAGATCAATAACCACATTATGCAAAATACAAATAGCTTTGACGATATGGTCAGCATTTTCGATTTTTGTTTCAATCGATTTTTGAAGTATACGAAATTTTGATGCCGCTATGCCAAATGCGCATTCAACTGTCATTCTAGCTCTAGATAACCTATAAATTATAATTATAATATGATTTGTTCTCGTCACTTAATTGTTTTTTCGGAAAGGGTCTTAACAAATCAGGGGCGTCATTTCAACTTTTTGAAAGGTATGCTAAAAATAAGGCAGGCCAAAAAAAATTTCAGCAGGCCAATATATGTAGGCTATAATTATATACTAGTTATTACAAAAAACATTTTCTTGCTACACTCAACGATTTCATTCTTCAACAATATAATGATTTAATATAATATCAATATTGTATATACCTACCTAATAATCCCAAGTCAATACCTACATTATTTTATTTTAAATTAAATTAATTATTTTTGTATAGACACTATGAAAATAAAACAAATTCTGAAATTTTTAATCGCACACAAGTTATTTAATACAAACCAAACATTTTATTTTTTAATTATTTCATTTAAATAATAACATAATAATATATATTAACAAAATTTATTTATATTTACTATTGGTATAGTGGGTACCTTCTGACTTTCATTTTTGCAAAATCATCAACTGCATCGTTCAAATTTATTTGTTTTGCTTCTTCAATTTCAACTCCAAGAACCATTAAATCGTTTAATCGTTAATCACCAATTGATGTTCTTAAGAAATTTTTTATTCTTTTCAGTGAAGAAAAGAAACGTTCATTAGATGCCGTTGTCACTGGTAATGTTAACATTATAGACAATATTTTGGTTGTTTCAGGAAATGCAAATGGTAGATTTAAAACAATATTTAATATTAATTCTAATTTAAATTGGGAATTGTTATCTAGTTCTAATGTTGCCTTAATTGAAGAAAATTCTGATGACAAGCTTAAAGTATTAATTTGAAAAATTTTGTAGTGGTCTATGAACTTATTAATAGTAACACATTCTGCACGAAGAAAGTGAGCATTTGTATAGTCAAATACATTAAATATGTCAAAAACTTGTTCATTTTTTGAAAAACGTTCGTCTAACTGTGTCACAATCCTAAAAAATAACATATTTTTATGAATTAATTAATTTGATGAAATTATTAATTAGATATGTAATAAATACCTATCAACCACTTGATACAAAAGTTCAACTTTCATACTTGAAACATCTTTTTCTTTAGTTTTATCTCTTCCTAAAGTTGATTGTACAAAATAATCATTCAAATGTTTATTGAAAGTCTGTTTTCTTTTCTTGTACTTATTATGAGTTTGAATTTGTATGCCATTACAAATTGCTATATCAGTTGCTTTTCGATGAAATTTTAACCATGATTCTTCACAGCGTAATTTTAAGATATTATTCCTTGTAGATTTCACTAATAACATGGCCTTTGATAGAATAATATTTGAATTTTGAAGTTCACACGACAAACAATGTATACATTCTAGGACATTAACCATTACCTCCAAAATTATAATGAATTTAAAAGTTGATAATTTTTCAAGTAATCCTACTGCTCTAACTGTTTGGTCGCCATGTTCGGTCAGAAAAGTCAATACTTCAATTATCACAGTATAACGGCTTTTCACTTTTTGCAATGAAGTATACCAATAATACCAACGAGTATCAACAAGTCTTTCTAAATGAATTACCTTAACATTTTTATTTTTTTGAGCTTCTATGAAAAGTTCATAACGAGTTTGACTATTCATCAGATATTTATAGAGATTTTGAATAGTATCAAAAAAATCAACTATTAAGGGCACATTTTGTATACAGTCAACCAAACAAAGATTTAATCGGTGGGCATAACAATGAATGTATACTGCATGAGGCACAATTTCATTGATTTTTTGTTGCACTCCCGAATAAACACCACTCATTACAGAAGCACCGTCATAGCATTGGGCAATGCATTTATTGATGTCCAAATTATTTTCTTGAATAAGTTTTACTATTTCTTGAGCTAGAGAAGTAGCATCAGATTTTTTCATGTGACTGCAACCTAGTGCTTTCTCAAATATATTGAATTTTATGTCTACAAATCTTATAACAAAACTTAACTGCTCTTTTTTAGATGAATCTTTAGTTTCATCAACTAAAATTGAATATACACTAAATGCAGACATTTTGCTTAAGATAATTTTTCTAGTACAGCAACCAAGAACATGAATTAGATCATTTTGATATTCTGGTGAGGTATAATGTCCATATCTCGATCTTAGTCTTATTTTCATAGAATCATCTGAAAATGTTTCTAATAACTCTATAAAATTACCTTTATTTTTGGACATGCTAGACTCATTTTTTCCTCGGAATGCCAGCCCTTGTTTAGCCAAATATAAAGTTGCCTTTAATAAAAAGTATATATGCTTCCTGTTATTGTCTATTTCAAGAGCTCTTGATGATTTTAAAAGATTAGCAACTGAATTTTGATTGGATTGAATGGCTTTGTATTGATTCCATCTTTCTACCGATGATAAATGATTTTCACTCCGACTATGTTTAGTCAAAGATTGTAATGGATTTCTCCAACACTTGACTCCTCTATCAATATAGGCAGCATTACCAATTGTTTGTCCCCGAAAATTACCACTTGAAGAAAAATGACGACAAGGAAAACAAAATACTGCATCATCAGAAATTGAATACTCCAGCCAATTAAATTTGTTATAATAACTGCTTTGAAAGTTCCTATTATTTGTTTTTGGGTAGAATAAAAGTATAGGTTGTACGGGTTTTTCATTCTTATTCATGGATATATCTTTTTTGATTTCCTAAAATTTTTTTACAAATTATCAACTTGGTTCTATTAAAATATTTATTTTGTATCATAACAATTTTTAAGACTTATTAGATAATTATGACAATTTTAAAATAAATAATATTATACTAACTTAACATAAAATTGATTGTATATTTTAAAAGTTTACTTACAGATGAATCTATCAATGAATTTGAAATTGTAGAACTTTGTGTAGACATAGTTATTTCAACATCATCATTATTTATTACATTTCTACAAGAATCATTTTGCTTGTCTATTTTAATACCAGATATCTGAGGCTGAAAAAATAACGATTTTCACTACTTAGTACCTAGGTACACATTATATTTATACCTATTGTTTATTGGTAGGGTGGACTATACTAAGTATAGGCTAACTTACCTTACTGCTCTGTATTTTAAAAAACGAATCTACTTTCATATTAGAATTGGCCAAAGACAAAAGTAGTTTTTTATTTTTCTCTCGAAGACGAGTTGCACCACCTTTTCGTTTATTCATTATGTTTTGATACAAAGAGTACAAAATTTCAACGTAATAAACTAAATAATAAGAAATATCAAATAACACTAGTACACGATATTTTAAATTTCGAACACACTGACGAGTGACAACTGACAAATGACAATTAATTACATTATAACGTGGAACTATAAAATAATAATATTGAATAATATTGAATCTATTTTTAAAGTTATCTTCCGAATTTCCCATGGTGAACACTGCAATGTCGTCGTCAATCTATTATTGTAATTTTGATTGGTGGGGGGAACTGAGAAGTACAGTTTACAGAAATTGTTATGACGATCCAGACGTTGTCACTTGTCGTTAACTCGCAACCACAGTCCATAATCAATAATCATATTTTAATATTACATATATAATAATATCAACAGTTTAATTTTAGCATGTTGTATTATTGGGCGTAGTGATTAGCTGCAGTCCCTAGCCACTATTATATAATTTGTCCAGTGTTTCTATAGATAGGTTATCTGAGCTCAACTATGTTCTAAAAATTCAACATAATATAAGCAATATACCTAATACGGAAGCTTATAGCCATATACATTATATTATGATAGATACCGATGCTTGAGACCAATTATAAAAAAAAAAAAAAAATAATTTTTGCCCGGTGCAGAAAAATTATAGCCGGGTCAAATTGCATTTCGATAAATTTTAGGTATGCACAAGCATACCCTGCAATACCCCAAATGACGCCCCTGTAACAAATGTTCTCTCAAAGGAAAAGCTTCATCACCAATAAATACAAAAGGTGCCATATTTGTTGTATTCGGAAGTAATTTTGCGTTAGGCACTTTCAATGTTCCTTTGTCAATACGATGGTATATTTTGAATTATGTAAAACACCACTATCACTGTCCTTATCATATGCTCCGATATCGATCAGCACAAATCGATAGTTTGCATCAACAATAGCCAATAGAATGATTGAAAAAAAATGTTTATAATTATAATACATACTGCCAGAGTTATTTGGACATTTAACTCGTATATGCTTTCCATCAATGCTACCTATGCAGTTTGGAAAGTTCCACTTATTGTAAAATGCGTCTGCAGTATTTTCAAAATCTTTAATTGTTGGTTTTCGCATATGTACGTCACGTAGTGTAGTCAAAACTGCCTGACAAACTTCAATAACAATAGAACTAACACTAGTTTTTGATACTCTGAAACTCATCGCAATTTGTCTGAACGCAATTCCTGTGGCGAGGTATCTATAAAATAAATAATGGAATATCGTTGTACTTGAATTTATAGTAAGGGCTATGAATTTGTAGGAAAGTGCATTTTTTTGATGATTTTGAAACGTAGCTTTATACGTAAGTACATAGTTTGAATTATATAACAACAAATCCATTAATAAAACTTTTATAAATATAAAAATTAAAATAAAAACCCTTTAAGTGCATTTTATACTATAATTTTTGGCATTTAAAAAGCATATTTATTGCATTTTTTTAAGGGATTTTAGTGCATTAAATTCACAGACCTATTTATAATTATATATAATCTAAATTTTTTTTTATAAGCGTTTATAGTTCAAATTTTTATGATAGATATATGTTAAAATCGCGAAAATTTGCAAGTAATTTTGTAGTTGAAAAATCATAAAATTGTTTGTGTTTATATCTAAGGTCAGTTTTCCATAAGTTTTCCTTCAAGTAGAAAACTCGAAACATCATTATAAGAAAAATTTTAAGTACGTTTGAATTTTAAATTTTTAAGAAATTGCGTAACGATAACGATTTATCCCCAAATGATTTTAAATATTTGTTATTATTCAAAAAGTATAAATAGTAGATACTTGAAAATTTTACTTGTTATTTAGATTGGAATTTTCTTTACATGATTTAATTTTCAAAATATTTCCCTTAATTTAATGTTATATTTTATAGGCATTTGAAATATTCGTTTTTGTTAAGTTTTTTTTTTATAAATATCGATAATAGCACAAAAAAAAAAAAAAAAATTAAAAAAACACCTTGTTGTAAAATCAATAAATTTATCACTTCGTTCAAAATCTTATACTGTTCGTTTATTTTTAGCCAATGAAGCAAAAAAAAGGTGGTGAAATTTAAGGGACCAGTTTAAAAAAGAACTAAAAAAAGTAAAAAAACCGAAATCAGGATCGTCTCAAGATAGCCTAGAAAAATACCATGGGAAATGGTCTTATTTTATGTCTATTCAATTTTTGAAAGACATAGAGACACCTAGAAATACGTCGGGTACATTTTCTAATGATGACGACGACGATGATATTGAGGTAGGGCGTTCATACGAACATAAATCAGATTCTAATGGAGACACAGAAGATGAGGAAGATATTGATAAGGAAACGACACATAGTTTTGAAGGTGTGGATTCATTAGTACCTCAGAATGACGCACAAATACAATTGACGAGAAATAATTCTCCTATTGCCGAGTTAAATAGCTCAAAAAGTGCAAAAACAAGTGGACAAAAAAAATGAAAAAAAAGGAGGATGAAATAAGTTTCGAACAACAATTACTGCAACTCGAAAAAACAAAAATTGAAGCTTTTATTGACTCATCACGGAATGCAGTAAAAGACGACGAGGACATGTATTTTTTAAAATCAATTCACCCTTATTTCGGTAACATGACTCCATTACAAAAATTAAGAGTAAGAACACAAATTCAAGAGGTTATCATGAGAGAACTGTCTGTACCATCATCTCAACCTATGAATAACAATTTAACTTATCCTTATCAATATCCAATACCTGTACAACCCATGCAATCATCACAACCTATTCCATTCCAACCAGGGACGCCCTGAAGGGGGGGGCCAGTGGGGGCCATTGCCCCCCCTGAGAATTTTTGTGTCAGTTACAAAATTGGAAGTTTTTTTACATAAAGCTGGTCTTAGGTATTTAGCGACTATGCGACAATAATTGTACCTAACAAGTCATGTATAATATAGGAGGTATTTAATTGAAAAAAAAAACAATACGATTATTAATAAATAATAATCCTTAATCGCTAAGTCATTTTTGACTAGTTCCTACAGATTACCTGTTAGCGCGGACGAGTCAAAGTAATTATAAATAGTCGATCTCACTTATTGCTGAATAATATATAGTAATAAATTACTAATAATAGTATTTATATTATATATGAATCGTGTATGAAAAACATAATAATAAAATGAAAATACTTAGAAAGCATACGCGATTATAAAAGCAGCCTGTCATCAACCTTTTGACAGACATTATTACATTTTTATTATTACATTTATGGTATTCTAGGTAAATGGTAATGTGTTCAGCTACCATGGGTAGAAATGTGCGATTACTATTTATAAATTATTATCAAACGGTTAACGAAATATTGTGTTTTCTAAGTCCACGTATTGTTGAGTGTTGACTGTTGTTGCCCTACAATTTACAAATTAACTAATTTTTAAGTTAAAATTATTAAAAACTTCGTTAAAAAGTGCAAATATGGATTCAGTTCCTAAAAAGAAGAAAATGAGAACACTGGACTCTTATTTTTCAAATGATAAAACAAAAAAGGTAAGCTCTTATATTGGATTATTTATATTTTATTAAAATTACATTCTACCATCATAACAATTTAATGTTTTTGCGAGTTAAATCAATTACATTCATACTTAAAGTATGCATTTTTTTAGTTAATACAACTCACAAGAATACCCGGATATTTAAATAATAAATAGCCAATATTATTGGCACAATAAGGTCAATTTTTATTTTTATGAATATAACTATTAATTAAATACCTAATTAATAATTCAGTTATAAATTATATTACAAATTACAATGTAGTCTTTTTAATTATTTAAAAGTAAGACTCTTTCTTTAAATTTAAATTTATTTTGTATTGTTTTTATAGCAGTCATTTGCTACAATTGATCATCATGAAGTAGAACTAGTAGAAGAATGTGTAGATGACCCTGTATTTGTTTCTGACCATACTGATGAAGCTAATTTTAAAGATGTAAGTGTTGTAAAATACAAATTGAGTTTCTTACATTTGATTATTTTTATTTAATTTTTTGTTAATATTTTATCAAAAATGAATTAATATAATAATACAATACAATAGTATACTTAGATAGGTACCTACTACCTACTTAAATAACAAATAGGATGTATTTAATTTTTTTTTTTTTTTATGAATATAACTATTTACTACTAAATAATTATAATGTAGGTAATCTTTTTAATTATTTAAAAATAAAACTCACAATTTTTTGATTATATTTTTATTTTATTGTTTTATTGTAATAAGCATTACATTTATTTGTTATGGTTTTATAGAAGTCACTTGCTATAATTGATCACAAAGATAAAGTAGAAGAATGCATAGCTGATCCTACATTAATTTCTGTAGACCACACCAATGTGCTATCTGATAACGATTTAGGACATTTTATAGAAACTTATTCACAAATTTCTGAAGATAAAAGGTTTGAACTTTTAACTAATCCATGGAAGCCTAGTAAACAATATAATTTTAAAAATGATGTTGAACACAGTAAACGTCCATTTTTGTATAAATGGTTTTCACAATACCCATGGTTAGTATATTCAAAGTTATTGAAAGGAGCGCTTTGCCTTACTTGTGTTCTCTTTCGGGCTCATGTGACACACGGTTCATACTTTGGATCTTTTATTACCAGCTCATTTGTAAATCATAAAAAATTTGTAGAAAAGGCTAATCAACACGAGAAAAATAAATGGCATATTGAATCTTTCATACGATCCAAAGATTTTAAAGATATGAAAAAAACAAACTGTGGTATTGACCAAGTGTTAGATTCTTGTTATAAAAATAAAATTGAAAAAAATAGAAATAAATTAAAGCCAATAATTTCTTCACTTCTATTTTGTGCAATACATAATTTACCGATTCGAGGAGATACAGACAACACTGCAGTATTTAATAACTTATTAAAATTCAGAGTTGATGCTGGTGATTTGACTTTAAAAACTCATTTAGAAAAATCCAATAAAAATGCATTGTACATATCACACCGTGTGCAAAATGAATTATTAGAATGTTTATCTTCTAATTTAAGATCTGTGATTACCAATGAAGCTATGCAAGCATTTTGTTTCTCATTAATTGTTGATGAAACGGCTGACATCAATGGTACTGAGCAGTTATCAATTTGTTTAAGGTATCTGTATAATAAAAATTTACATGAAGAATTTTTAGGGTTTTTCCCCTTACAAGAGTTTGATGCCTCATTTATTACTCAAACAATATTAGAAGCATGTACTAACCTAAATATTGATATGAATAAATGTGTTGGACAGGGGTACGATGGATGTGCTACGATGGCTGGCCATATATCTGGAGTGCAAAAAAAAATTAATAATGTGTATCCCATGGCTAATTTTTTCCATTGCGCTAGTCATCGTTTGAATTTGGTAATAAATGATTTGAATTCTCTTGCCGAAGTTAGAAATTGTGTAGGGAAAATAAAAGAAGTTACTAAATTTGTTAGAGATAGTGCACTTCGTAGAAATATTGTAGGGAATAATTTGCCAAAATTATGCGAAACAAGGTTTGTTGAAAAACATAAATGTATCAGAAAATTTAAGGACCAATATGTTACAATTGTTGAAGGCTTGGAAGAAATATCAAAATCCAATAATTTTAACAGCAAAACTAGACAGCGTTGCTATGAATTACTTAATGCAATCACTACTCCAACATTTGTTGTAACATTATTAATCATGGCAAAATATTCTGCAAAATTTGAAACTGTATCAACAGTTCTTCAAGGGATAGATGTTGACCTGCAAGAAGCTACAAAACATATTCAAGACCTATTATCAATGTTAAAAATAGACCGTAATAATTGTGAGAATATATTTAATTCAATATTTAATGAAGTAAAATTAGTTGTTTCTAAAATAGATCTTGAGTTAAAGTTACCACGGCGTAGTGTTAAACAAGTACATCGTGAAAACTATCCAACTAACGATGTGGAAGTATATTTTAGACAATCTTTATTTATACCATACTTAGAATCAGTTATAATGTCTCTCAAAGATAGATTTTCAGATGAAAAATTAAAAATATTTACATTATACAACCTACACCCAAAAAAAATGAAACTAATGAGCGACCAACAATTTGCAGAAAGTGTTGAATTTATTTGTACACTTTATGGTTCACTTCT